TCAAAGTAGAATTACTGGGTTTATAAGTACACACATATACATTGACAGCTATTACCAAATTGTTCTCTAAGGAAGCTGTATCAATTTACTCTCCTTCAATAACATGAAGCTGTGTTCTCTCCACACCTCTCCAATACTGGACAATAACAAACTCTCTCTCTCTCTCTTTTTTTTTTTTTGCGGAGTCTCGTTCTGTCACTCAGGCTGGAGTACAGTGCTGTGATCTTGGCTCCCTGCAGCCTTCGCCTCCTGGGTTGATTCTCATGCCTTAGCCTACCAAGTAGCTGGGATTTACAGGCATGCACCACCACACCTGGCTAATTTTTGTATTTTTAGTAGAGATGGGGTTTCCCCATGTTGGCCAGGCTGGTCTCGAACTCCTGACCTCAAGTGACCCACCTATCTCAGCCTCCCAAAGTACTGGGATTATAGACATGAGCTACTGTGCCTGGCCCACTACCAAACTCTTAAGTGTCTGCCAATATGACAGAAGAACCACTACTCATTCATTACTGTGTTAACTAAATTTCTTCAATTCAGAATGAGGTAGAGGGAATATTGGAATTAGAAAAATTGCCTTTTTTGCAATCATGATATTAAAGGCTGTTATGAGCAAGAATTGGATGCTACATTGAGGGAAGTTTATTCTTTTATGAGACAGGGTCTTGCTCTGCTGCCCAGGCTGGAGTGCAGTGGCATTGAGGCAACAGCTCACTGAGCCTCGAACACCTGGGTTCAAGTGATCCTCCTGTCTCAGCCTCCCGAGCAGCTGGGACTACAGGCATAAGCCACTGCGCCCAGCCTGAAAGTTTGATGAGGAGCAGGATATCTCCAAGTGTCTCCCCATAGATTTCTCATTAGTGGCAAAGGGAAAAAACAGCAGTTACACAGTGGAGAAACTGCACACTACCTGAACTAGCTGACAAAAATTAGCATCACCAATAAGGAACCAATGAACACCCTGTGCCTCTACATGTGAGGCTCTAAGGACACAATACTACACATGACCATACTGTGGTGACATACAGGAACATTGCTGTCCTTAGGAAATAGACATTAAAATGTTAAGGGATGAAATGTTATGATATATGCAACCCATTCTCTCAAATGGTCCAAAATAAATAAATACTATGTGCATATAAATATATATATACAGAGATGAGAGAGAGAGAGAAGAGGACGAGAGGGAGCAAGAAAGAGAGCAAAAGAGAATGATAAAGCTTATTTGGCAAAATGTTAAAAATTGGTGAATTTGGATAAAAGGTTTAGTGGAAGTTCTTTATAACTATCTTGCAACTTTACTATATGTTTTAAATTATTTCAAAATAAAGACAATAATTTTAAAAGAAATCAAGGTTGAAGATTTTTCATGTTTATTGACATTCCTTTTATTGTCAACTACCTGTTCATATCCTATTACCCATTTTCTCTTGGACTGTTGGTCTATTCTCACTGATTTGTAAAAGTTCTTTCCAAATCACAGAAATCGGACTGAAAGTATTTTTCCTAGTCTGACTTTATAGTATTGTTTGCCACCCCCAAATGGTCAAATCAGCAAATAATTTCCTTTAGGGTTTATGTTATGCCTAGAAAAGTCATCTTCACTCTCAGCTTATATTTTGGAGACTTTTTACACTCTCCTTGATCATTCTAGTGAAACACATTTTTGTTAGTTAAAAAGTCCTCAAAATTTTATTAAAAATGTCTGTACTGTATTTATTAAAGTATTTGCCCTCTTAAATCTAATTCTAAACATCTAGTTGTCCACAAATTCCCATTTTCATAAACAAACTGTCTTGTCTTATTTGTGAACTGATGTGAAGTGAATCTGTATGTATATTCTCCCAAAAGTGTTAACAATTGTCATCTCTGGAAAGTGACATTTCAGGTAGGCAGTTCTTTATAATTTTCTATCTTCATTTCTCATGAATAACACTATCACATACTTAAAAAAATAGTCTTTTTAACTGGCTGACAGTATCAGATGTTAGGTGTCTGATGTCCAAATACTAACTAATCTTTAGGTAACACCAACTAGTATTTGAAAATCTGATTTATAGTTCCAGATCATGTGTGTACACATTATTTTACTTGATTCTTTGGGCATATACATTCTTTCCCCTCTGTGTATGTGTGAGTGTTAAACTACATTTCTAATCCTTTAATAGGAATAGTTCACAAAAAGTTTAACAAACTGTAAGGTATCCCTTATCTGCCCTGGCATAGGTAGAGGTAGGGGAAGCCCCTCAGCTGGTGGGGGAAAGAATAAAAGACGGAGCCAGTACCTTCCCAGTTGTCTCTGTCCCTTCATCCTTTTTGCCTTTCTTCCTTCCACTTCCCCTTGGTTGTTTCTGAACTCAGCCATCAACTGTGGTAACTACACCTGAGCAGGCCCCTCCTGAAGTAGCAGTGGGCTCCACCCTGGGACAACAGCAGCTGACTGGGCCACCTAAGTCAGAGGTGCTTACGGTCAAACCTGGAACTTCAAAGCAGAGGAAATCCTAAATGTAAATCTCCCTTCCCATCTCCTGCTTACTCTTATTGTCTCCCTCAAAAGACACGTATTCTCACACCTTTACACACAGAACTTTAAAACTTCAAGCAGTTTTGGTCTAAACCTACAAGATGAAGACTTAAAAGATCACTAGAAGATCACATAACTCCTCCCCACCTTCGCTGTAACTGTAGAAATAAAGGAAAGGAAATGAGGCAAGGTATAAATTATTTAGGTAAAAAGGCTTTTCAAAATTTAGGATAACAAATCATCCTTTCGCATTTTAAGATGAAAAGACAATTTTGATGTTACAAATGAGATTGAAAACTCTGTTTCAGAATCCTTAGCCTGCTGAAATCAGTTTTTTCCTGAACGGGTTTAAGGATTCAGGACTATTTATTATATACAAAATACTGGATTTTCCAACCAACAATGTTTAAAAGTATTATATTTAATCTAATATCTTAAATATTGTTAGGAAAGGTAGTCATGAATTACAGACCTGCAGGTCAAGGACAAATTTAAATACAATTCCAAGTACCCAATCTTCTCCTAGGTTAGAAAAGTTTATGTCTCCCACTAGATAACTTACTAACACCACAGGGAAAAACGGTATCTTGACAATGGAGAAATCTCACAGACACCACCTTATCCAAGAAATCAAAGTTAACTTCACCAGTGATAGAAGAGAAACATATCATGTGCTGCCTAATAGATGCAATGAGAAAGACACAGGATCATTTCTATTATATTCCTGCCCAAAATGCAAAAACTGAATTGAATCATGAAGAAACATTAGTCAAACCCAAACTGAGGAATATTCTACAGAATAACTGACTCTTAAAAAGTTATGGTCATAGAAGAAAGCCTGAAGTATGATTCTAGATTAAGGCCTATTTAAGTACAAGTATTGTGTCTGTGTTAATTTTCTCAGCTTGATCTTTTCTTTGACTTTGTATAAAGTCTTTGTTTTTCAGAAAGATACACTTATGTTTTCAAGGGTAAAGGGGCATCATGGATGTAGCATATTCTCAAATATTTCATTATATATATGTATATATAAAAGAAAATACACATGAAGAGAAAAGAAAATACACGAGAGAATGATAAAGCAAATGTGGCAAGTGTTACATTTGGAGAATCTGGGAGAAGGGTATATGGAAATTATTTGTACTGTTTTTGTAACTTCTAAGTCTGAATTTGCCTCAAAATAAAAAAAATTCAAATAAAAAAACTCTTTGATTCTTCTGGAGATGCGTTATTTCTTGGCTGCTCTGGGCTTCAGCACGAGGGAGTTACTATAAGAGTAAAGAACACATTTACTCCGTAGACCCAGAGGACTCAGCCCTTTATCCCCACCCTCAATCATATACTATTTATATAGCGTTGAGATGTAAAATGTATAAGCAACAGCTGTGGAAGCTATCAAATGTTCTAAGGAAATGTACTCACCATTTTTTTTAACCCCCAAATTAATCTGTTACCATAACAGATTAACACAGATGTTCATAAATTAACGCTTCTTACCTTCTCACTATGAAGGAGAGCATGCATGGCAGCCTCCCTACAGAGTGCTGTCAGGTCGGCACCAACATAGCCAACTGTCATTTCTGCAAGAAGGCCCAAATCAACATGACTGGAGATGGGCATCTTTGAGGTAATCGCTTGCAGAATTTCCTTTCTTTGTTTAAGTGTGGGAGTCCCAATGACCACCTATATGCAAAGCAAAACAACAAAAAAAGAAGTTTATAGTTTAAAATATATTCTTTTTAAAGTTGATCTCATGGATGGAGGTAGACAGCAGAATGAATAGCAACCAGAGACTGGGAAGGGTTGGGGGGTGAGGGGATGAAGAGAGGTTGGCTCATGGGTAGAAACATACAGTTAGATAGAAGGACTAAGTGTAATGTTTGATAGCATAGTAGGTTGAACACAGTTGACAATAATTTCTTGTATATTTCAAAATTGCTACTGGAGAGAATTTGAAATATTCCCAACACTCAGGTAAGAAATGATAAATGTTTGAGGTGATGGATATCCTAAACACCCTGATTTGATAATTACAAATTGTATGCAGGTACCAAAATATCACATGTACCCCAAAACATGCACGATTATGTATCAATAAAAATAGATCAATTAAAAAAGTTACTTCCAAAAAAAAATTATATATGTGTATGTGTGTATATATATATTATGTATTCATTTTTGAGACACAGTTTCACTCTGTTGCCCAGGCTGGAGGGCAATGGGCACCATCGGCTCACTGAAACCTCCACCTCTTGGTTCAAGTGATTCTGGCGCCTCAGCCTCCCAAGTAGCTGGAACTACAGGCACGCGCCACCACGCCCAGCTTATTTTTGTATTTTTAGTAGAGACGGGGTTTCACCATCTTGGCCAGGCTGGTCTCGACCTCCTGACCTCAGGTGATCCACCCACCTCAGTCTCCCAAAGTGCTGAGATTGCAGGCGTGAGCCACCAAGCCCTGCCAAAATAATAATATATGTTTTTTATGCTGATAAACATGTACGACAATTTAGTGACCCATTTTGGAACTAGTACTGTGCACTTTACGTATAGCTTAGATTCTGAATATATGAAAATCCTAATACTCCAGGAGTAACACTGGCTAGAAAGTTGCACAGTGAAAATTCTATGTCATTTAACAAGTTTTTGTTATTTTTACAACACACAAAGTTCTAGAAGCCAGGTATAGATAGCTAGGTCCCTGGCTCTTAAGGACACAAAGGTACTAGATAGTGCAAGGAAGAAATCCACTCAAGTCCTGAACTAACTAAAAGAGTGTAATTATCATTTCTCTTTTGAATCCTATCACAAAATAGAAATATCAGTCACTAAATTTCAAGCTATTCTTTAGCATTCAAGTCAATTTAGGACCAAAACTTATAAAATAGGACAGCTCTGAATATTCAACCTCCCTGACAACTCAGGGAGCAGTTGTGGGTACTTTCTCAATTGTGGGATAGGGTGCTGGTGTTATGACAAGGAATGAATAAATCCAGAAGAGTTAATGCCTGCTTCCATTTAGTTCTTCCCCGCCTTCTCCCTTTTTATTTCAACACACTTACTTCTTGAGGTTATCCTTCTTTAAATTCTCATTCCAAAACATGAGTTTAACATGCTTGTAGGTGACCAAAATTCTCTTAAGAATTAACATTACTGATTATAGGACCTGCACAAAATTAATCCGTAATGGCCACCCCGCTTCCCAAAACAATTAAGACTCTGGGGAAATACAGGTCCTGACTCACAGATCCTGACTCACAGGTCCTGACAATCTGACTCTGGGGAAACACGGGTCCTGACTCACAGATCATAGATGGGCAGAGAACGTGTTCTTTGCATTGCAAAGCGCCCCACTCCAACCTCACCGATGCTCAAACCTAAGAGACAAACGCCTCCGGGGCAGCCAACTAGTGCCAGAAAAGGCCGAGGTTCCACCGACAGTGGGCGAACCCGCCAAGCCCATTCACCTCTCGGTCAAATCTCCCGGGTCTACGCAGCGCTGGATCTAGAGCGTCCGGCCGGTTGGTGGCTCCCACAACCACGACCTCGCGGTCCCCACTTGCGCCGTCCAGCAGCGTCAACACCTGGGCCACTACGCGGCTCTCGGGTGCTCGACCGCCCCGCCGGGGACACAAAGCGTCCACCTCGTCCAGGAAGAGGAGGCTGGGCCCGCGGCTGGCCAGCTCCCGGGCGCGCTGGAAGACCCGCCGCACGTTCTCCTCGGTCTCCCCAGGCCGGGAACCCTGCAGCGCGGGGGCGCTGACTGCCAGCAGCTCCGCGCCCGCCTCGCGCGCCACGGCCCGCACCAGCTGGGTCTTGCCCACTCCGGGGGGCCCCGCCAGGAGCACCCCGCGGGGCACCGCTAAGCCCAGCGAGGCCAGGGCGCGCGGGTAGCGGAGCGGGAAGTGGAGGAGCTCCCGCAGCGAGTCGGCAGCCTCCGAAAGACCTCCCAGGGGCACCTCGGGCTGCGGCTGGGCTTCGGACGGAGGTTCCCCGCCAAGGCCGACGCGAGTGTGAGGGGTGACCAGCCCAGCGGGATCGGGACTGGGCGTTCCGCCGACGATGTGCAAGGCAGCCACCGGGCCAGGAGCGCCCGGCGGAGCGACCACCACGTGGCCCAGGGAGACCGGTCGGTTTCTCAGCAGCTCCTGCGCCGCCTCCAGCACCGCGGCTGTATTCGGGGCACCAGGCGCGCCCGCCAGCTCTCGCAACACCGGCCACACGGAAACGCGCCGCAGGGGCGGACAGGGCACTAGGAGGAGGTGGCTCAGGCTGAGACTCCTCCGGGATCTCGGCGCCCCGACCGCCGCCCCGGGGCTCGCGCACAGCGGGTCCAGCTGCACAAAGCCGTTCGCTCTGTCCCGCCGAGGCCAGACAGTGCAGAGGCAGGAGCCGCCGTCGGGTAGCGAGATCTTCACTGCTGAGCCCAAGCGCGCGCCCAGGGCGTGGAGGGCGGCCGGGCCCAGGCGGCAGCGCTGGGTGCCCCGGTCTCTAGCGTCTAAGGGTAGCAGCTTTAAGAGAGGCCCTTCCGGGAAGGGATCCGAGTCCAGAGCCATTGCACACAGATCAACCAGGCATAAGAAAAGCAGAGCAGGAAATCCACCCGGCCCACAAAGAGTGGAACACCGAGCTCGCAGGCCGGAAGCAGATGGCGCGCAAGCGCTAGGGAAGACTGCGTTGCCAGCCGCTGAGTGAAGGCCGAAAGGGCCAATGGGAACATTAGACGACGCATTTATTCCTGGGTAGAGCGTTGGTGTCCGCTTTCGTGAAATCGAGTTGCCCACCCCAGAGCTTTGCCGAGATGATCTTCATTACAGGTGTCTGGGAGGCGGCGTAAGCTAACTTCACTAGGTCATTAAGCATGTACTTTGGTGGTTACTTATATTTTGGAAGTCACCGGCGTTACATTCTGTTTTCCTGGCCTTCGAACTGGAGCATCAGTACTGCCGCTGTTGGAATAGCAACTTAGAGACTTTGCTATTTTGTGAACAAACTCCAACTATCCTCACGGGCACAGAATTTTGGGTGCTCTGGTGCAAATATCTGAGGTGACTTGGCGTAGCTGAGAATACAGCCTTGGGGCCTTCGATAATCGGCGTTCCAATCTGGGAGGTCCAGGCACAACCCTTCCTATGGAAAAGCACCAGCATAGTGGGAGGGAAGCACACTGTGGCACTTAAAATCCCTTGTAGAGAGGAAGGAAGAAAAACTAGGTTACTTGATGGATTTGAAACACTAATAGTATATTTATTCTGATTTCTGATATTCTTTTGAATATTATTTGGCAACAAGTTATCACTACTTAAGTTCATGCGATCAATGCTTGCTCTCTAATTGGGGCACAACAGTGTCGAGTCCTGTATTAGAGGCGATACCTATCTACATTATAAAGACAACTGTCTGCTATTTTTTTTTTTTTTCCACCTGCTTTCTGCCTTTCTTCTCCCTTTCGCACAGGGAATTCCTTTTTATCAGCTGGAATACATTTTCTATCCTTCTTAATTGCCTTATAAAAAAGAACTATGGATATTCAAAGACAAAAAGATACACCTTGTTTTTATTTGACTTACATCTTCCTATCTCTATTTTTCCCACTTTCACCGCAACCCAAATTTGTGAGTTGACAAAACTGATATTTTAGAGTTCTTAAGTTGCTGGGGAAGTTTGTTTGTTTTTTCTATCTATGCAAATAATCAATTACAGACTGTGTAGTAATATCTTATCAATGGGAAGTACTTTCAGATCTGGGATCTTAAGACCAATGCCAATTCCTGACTCATTCTATCCAAACTTCATGGCAGACTGATAGACTTCTTGACTCCACAGTAACTTATCTGGTCTCTGCTGTACTTTTCTGCTTAAATCGATTCTGAAACAACTTAGGGATCAGAAAATAGCAGGAGAAGGTCTTGAAATGGGTAAGTCACCCATTACTTCCTGTTTTCTTTTTATCTCTTAATCCCATTGGCTTCAGTTCTTTTTGGTTTGGGGACTTTTAAATAATAGCTTTGCATTTTCTGAAAAAAAAAAAAAAGCCATCGTTTTTACTTACTCCTAAAGGTGTGAATAACATGCCTATCAAGTTATTTTACATATATCTTGTACAGAAGCCTGTACCTCATGGAGTTCCTGAATAGTTCCAAGAAGTTTTGAGGATCTGGGAGAGGGAAAGAAGACTTACTGAGGACATGATAACTGTCTTAAATATGTAAAGAGATCTCATGTAAAGGAGTTAGTAGATTTACTTATATTTACAGTGCAGAAATGGCCAAGAAGTAAAGGTTTAATGGAGTGGAATAACCAAAGCCAACATAGGGAGCCAGTAAAGTTAAATCGGCCTTAAAGTTTTCTGAATTGGTTTAAAACAGAGTCACAAACTATGCTATTAGGAATATGATAAGGAGGAAACTACATGTTGCTTTGGGTTGGTCTAAGAGGCTGATTTTATGCAAGGTCAAACAAGAACCCTCTGACCTTATAGAATCCATATGCACAGGAAATATTCTTTCACTTCACTCTTTCCCTAAAAGATGCAGTCTTTACCCTAGGTCGCAAACAAAAGCAACAAGGAATTCTGTTACTGGGCCTTCAGCTCTTACCCACTCATTCTAAGCAAAACTGTAAATGTCTTTCCCAATCAACCAGTAAAATCCATTCTGTCCCTTTAGGTATAACCATTTGCAACACTATGATTTCATCCATATTTATCACTGCCATTCAGTGACATAATCTCCTTATGATAAACCATTCTTTTTATTTTTAAAATTTTATTTATTTTTTAGACAGTCTTGCTCTGTCACCCAGTCTGGAGTGCAATGGCGGGATCTCAGCTCACTACAACATCTGCCTCCCAGATTCAAGCAATTCTCCTGCCTCAGGCTCCTGAGTAGCTGAAATTACAGGTGCCTACCACCACACCCGGCTAATTTTTGGATTTTTAGTAGAGATGGGGTTTCACCCTGTTGGCCAGGCTGGTCTCAAACTCCAGGCCTAAAGTGATCCACCTGCTGCGGCCTCCCAAAGTGCTGGGAGTACAGGCATGAGCCACTGCACCTGGCCTCCTTGTGGTAAACCATTCTAATGGGACTTGTGTGGGTCTTTTGCTTAGTGGTTTTTAATCTGACCAGAAATTTGGTAATTCTATGAATTGAAGAATTAAATCTATTAAATCACCAGAATTGAACCACTAGAGGGAGTCCAGAACCAACTAAGCCTGAAGGCTACAGGATTGTTAGGACATTGGTGTTCTCAACTGTAGTTTCCAACTCGATTTTCCCAGGATCCTCATCTAGATGTGTGAAGCCATCTGTTGTCTCTATATATTAACTGGCTTAGTCTGTTCAGGTTGCTGTAACAAAATACCACAAACCAGGTAGCTTATAAATAACAGCAATTTATTTCTTACAGTTCTGGAGGCTGGGAAGTCAAAGACAAGGCACTGGCAGATTCCATGTCTGGTAAGGGCCCACTGTCTGGTTTAGAGATAGCTCACTACCCGCACATGGTGGAAGGGACTAGCTAGCTCTCTCATGTTTGTTTTATAAGCACACTAATCCCATTCATGAGGGCTCCACTCTCATGACCTAATCACCTCCCAAAAGGCCCTGACTCCTACTACCATCATCTCAAGGGTTAAAATTTCAACAAATGAATTTTGTGGAGGACACAAACATTGAGATCACAGCAGTAACTGACTTATTCTCACATAATTTTCACATGCCTCAAGCCATGTAAAACTCAGTTTCTAAGTTAAAATTTAATTTCTGTGTTAAGTATAAAAATGAGACCCTTCCTAAATCCAAAATTTAGTGGTAGGTCAAAATCCAAACCGATGGAATTCATCTTGCTGTAGCCTAGAAACATTTCTAGCTTTAAATTGTTTCAAATAGCTTTGCCAAACAAAATCTTTTGTGAGATTTTCCCAAAGATGCATGTAACAAATAGTTTCTCTTTATGTCCTTTGCTACTTTCAAGGTTACAATGTAATTTTTAATTAACTATAAAAATTCTTAATTAGCTTTAAGTCTATAATTCAAAAGAAATAATTGGAACCTGTTTCTTCTTGAGGATAATGATCATACATGATTTTTGTCCCTTCAGCATATTATTTATATATATAAAAAAATATATTCCTGTACATGAAAAAAATCTAAAGAAAATGGTTAAACCAGTAGCATGAATCATCTGCAGCTTAAATAATGTTAATCTTTCCTGCATTTCCATTTTTGTGGTATGTTCAACCCTAACATATTTGAACATTAGCAATGATTATGAGTTGTAATAGATAAACAGAGATTTGTTTAGCCACCCTTGAAAAAGCATGATTTTCAAATACTTTCATCTCAACAGGCTCATGTAGATGTAGTAAGTGATTTATTTCCACAGATACCTAATATGCCAAACCTATGTTCTTAAAGTATGTAATGAAAATCTCCCTAAATAGGACATTGTTAAAATTGTCCTTTAGAATCTTCCATCTTTACTCTTTATGTTGTATCCAGGTTAGAATTAGTCTTTAGAGTAATTCTAGATATAGAATAAGTTATAGAATCCGAAGAAGGAGGATGAAAATATTTGCTGGATTTCAAATGACCTGCAGACTATGGTTCATAGAACATCATTCTGAAAGTCTGTTCTTGCACATTTTCACGAAATTGCTTGATTGATCATTTTTTTAGAAGTTAATTTTAAGGTAATTTTTCCCTATGATGTTGATTCACACTTTTCAGCTTACAAACATAATATATATTTATTAAAACAAATATTTATTGAACATCTACTTCTTGCTAGTTACTATACCAGAGGCTGAGTATTTGGTGGCAAACAACAACAATAAAAACACTGTAATCCTTGCCTTCATGAAGCTTATAGTTTACTGGGAAGTCAAACATTAAAGAAGTAAACAAGTGAATAAATCTGATAATTAAAGGTGATGAAAATTGCCTTGAAAGAAATAAACAGAAAAGGGCTACTTTAAACAGGTATTAAGGATAATTGTTTTTCCTACTTTCATATACCACTCAGCCACTCAACACAGCACTTCTGACACCAGGTGTTGGTTGGGGGGTTCCCCACATATCAAGCAGATTTTCCCACAGACACCACCTACTGTCCTCTGAATCAATTCAGTGCCGAGACTATCTACCTGGAGATAGCATCAGACTCCACAGGTTCAGGGCCCAGTCCCTCAAGACTACCCCCCACTTCAGATGCCAATCACAAGTTCCAGGTTGTGACCTGTGCTTCTAACCAGGGACAGGCTATAAATTGGGCTTCCCATGACTCCCTTCTTAGGTTCTATTAATTTACTAGGATGGCTCATGGAATTCAGGAAAACACATTACTTACATTTACTGGCTTATTAATAAAGGATGTAATAAAGGATACAGATGAACAGCCAGAGGATACAAAGGGTGAGATCTGGAAGGGTCCTGAGTACAGGAGCTTCTGTCCCCATGGAGTTGGTGTGTACCACATTCCAGGCACATGGATGTGTGTTTGCCAACCTGGAAACTCTCTGAACCCCATAGTTAAGGGATTTTTATGGGGCCTTCATCATGTAGGCATGATCGATCATGAACTAAATTTCCAGCCTCTGTCCCCTCGCTGGAGAATGGAGGTAGGGGCTGAAAGCTCCAAGTTTATAATCATGGTTGGTCT